AGCAAGCTTCTCAGTGGCTCTTTCTTTTAAGAGTCGCATAAAAGGCTTTTTAACTCCCAGACATACCGGATTACCGCTAGCATGATTGAATATCCATCCCATCTCATTCTATGATTTCGCAACCGTTTATGTGCACTGTTTTCTTTTTATTTACATTTGTCAATATCAGCGTTCAAGACTGAGCTAAACTGAAGCCGAGGACATGCATTCTTAGCATTTTTGCATGCCTCTACGGGATTGTGCGAATAAAGGAGCTAAAAATAAAGAATAGAAGTGAGAAGTTGCGATCGATGGTATGGAATATGATGAAAAAAAAAAAAAAAAACAATTGACCAAAGTATCAGAATTTTCTTTTTTTCTCTAAAAGAAACTGCCTTTTTTTCAGTTCGTTAACAAGCTTGATGTTGGGAATATGTGGCACAGCGTTGTGCATACAGTGCGCCTTTGGTCGGACAAACCGGTAACATCAGGTAGCAGTATCAGAGTCCTTGAGCTTCATCAGGTAGTGTCGGCAAAAGAACGCAGCTTCATTGAAGTGTTACATCAGCTGAGTGGTGAAGAGCAGTGGAGTAATATCATATTGCTCTTTTTGCGGTGAGTTTTACGGTGGAAGAAACGTTTTGCCTTTTTTTTTTTTTAAATATTTCTTCGTTAGTGTCATTAAGGTTGGAGGGGAAAGCGGGGGACAGGGAGGGGGAAGGAAGAACCGAAAGAGTACTGGGGCTCTGATGCTACAGTGATTTAGGCACACATGCACATACCGAGCACGGCTATGTCAAGCCATTCTTGGTCTACTTAGTCCCAGTTTGTGCATACTCGGACCAGCTATGATTCATAGTCCTCGAGTTATGCAGTTGGCAGCTTTTTCTGTTATTCTGACCAATGCAGCATCATTCTCTGATCGGTTTGCTAACGATCTTGACATTTCTGTGGAGCATCCTTCCTTAAGGGATTTGCTAGACAGTCATTTTTCTGGTCTTAGTTCCTTCGACATTTCATCGATGTATGCCGAGCACCGACCAGTTCATCTTTAACGTTGCTGTCGCTAGATCACGACTAGGCAGAATTCTGTGTTGTACATCTGTTGAACAAAAACAATTGGACCTGAACCACAAGTTTTGCTGGACGGAATTGATTTGATTGCGATTTTTGATTGATTTGAATGTCAAATATCCAATAAACAAGAAGTTAACAAAAAATTGTATAATCTGAAATAGAACAGCAAAGTAAGATTTTTGAAGTCTTTTACTATTTTAAATTTGTAGAAAATGTCAACCAAAACAGTCTCCAAAAAATGTCTGAAGCAAAAACAATTTTGATTCGATTAAAACACCGGTCCTGCTTACCAGACACTCCGTAATTTGTCAGACTAAGTATCGAATTTTCGTTTGTTTTGGCTGCGCCGGTGTTCATTGCCAGCAGTTACTTAGAACAAGTTGGCATTACGCAGAACTGCCTTTGAATTGTTTTTGTTGCAATTGGCTGATATATAACCCTTTTTGCAGAAAGATGATTGTTTCTTTGACAAAAACACGTTTAACTTCGGTTACCCAGCATGGTCGTAACATCCGATGTATTCTGGTTTGCGCTCGAATACTCCTACAAGTAAGAATGTTTATGCACGTTTTTGATGCGCCTCTCACTACTTTTTATGCGTTTGCTTTCTCAAAATGCATTCGATATCCGTAACTCATTTTTCTTTCGAGCACACATTAGCACAGCTTGTTCACGTCTCTTAATTCTGGCCAGTCTTTTGCCGGCATTGCAGTGCAAAGATTACCAACTGAGGCGAGTTCCTCGACGTCTTCAAAATGTTAAAGTACCGTCTCCTAATACAAATCTGATGAAAGCAATGACATACGGATGCGAAACATGATGAAAGCAGAACAGTGAGTATTGGCTGAAACGGGAGTGTCAAAGCGAAAAGCATCCCTCTTCATCATCATATAAACAGCCAATGTCCTGTCAGTTGAGTGAAATGCGCGATGATTGCGCTTATACAATAAACTGAAATCTGGTAAGGAAGGCATATTGATCACCATGCTAACATCCCGATGTGTATCGCGAACAAGAGATGTACAAAAGAATATGGAGAACTGCTTGATGATCTTCACACGCACACACACACACACGCACACACACCAAACGGACGGTATTCACTGACTGAAAATTTGCTGCTTGGACTCGATGAGCCTGGCAAAGCGCTTTGATAACATGCTAACGCCGCATCGATTATTGAACGGCCTTAGAAGTAATGCTGATCCAACAGAGTTTGTCATCTCGAAGCCTTGCAAACAACAAGCTGCTGCACAATCCAAAAACATACGGAAAAAACAAAATTACAAAAATCATTTCAGGCATAACCCTCTACACATACTTTGTATTGAGTAAAAAAAAAACAAACCGAATCGGAAACAAAAAATCAATCCTTCCCCTCCTCCCACCAGCATCATATTTCACTTTTTTTTAAAGATGAAAACACGCGGATGTAGCTTAATTAGTAGCACATGTCAAGAGCAATCAACCACCGGCAAAACTGCCAGTGATTCCCTCTGTATAAGTTTGGAATGACGCTAATAGAAGTATGTGTAGAAGGTTATGTCTAAAATGATTTTTGTCATTTTGTTTTTTCCGTATGCTTTTGGACTGTGCAGCAGCTTGTTATTTGCAAAGTTTCGAGATGACAAATTCTGTTGGAGATAAATTCCAGGCATAGCACATCAACGAGTGATATTCATGGACAGTTTAGACAGGTCTCCGATGAGGCATGCACCTGTGTGTAATGGATATGGCTAGCTGTGGCTTGAAACATATCAGACGAGCATTTTTGATTGTCGTCGTGATAAGTTGTAGAAAATTTATTACAGTAAATAATAAGTGACATTAATTCAGGATGGCTCGGACGAGGAAACAAGGAGGCTAGTGAGCGCTGTTTTGCGATATTTGATCGAACGGGACACGTCAGATAAAGTGGTACCAGTGTTATGTTATGCAGTTACAATTGTTCCGGAACTTGCCGATGAATTG